CCAGCTCCAGCCTTGGGATTCATCCAATACTTGGAGTTCCTAGAACAGCCTGCAAGAAATGTCCTGTAAACGCTTTGCCTAACCCGAGACAAAGGGAAGCAGATTTGGAGCAGTGGCCAAGGAGCACGTAGCAATTGGCAGACTGTTGAAGACGTCTTCCTCTGCCTCTTTCCACTTGGTTTTCCATCTATCTTATCCAACATTTAAAGTGACAGACAGCAAAGAAGCCCAGGTCAATAAAGGGTTAGGAAAAAAATTGGAGGAACCCAGAGTAGTAGTTGTAGATGCTGAGAAAGAAGATTAGATGCAAAACTGAAAACAGCAGAAACGAACAAAGCCCTTGAGGTGAGGCCCAGCTGCCTCCTGCCATCAGAACCTGGGCCCCATGCTCCTACCATGTAAAGAGGATCTCCTTAAGACCCCAAGAAGCAGAGAAGAGGAAGCACCAGAATAGGCACTGACCATCCTGCTGGAAAGCCTTTTCTGTGTTTGCAGGAATCTAGGAACGCAGCAGAGGGATGAAAAAGTAGCAATTCCTGACAAAAAGTTAGTGCCGATTTTCCATGTTATACAACTCTAGTATCCAGAGAACACAAAGTGAGACAAATGTGTAGCAATAAGCAACAGAAAATATATCCATGCAAGGTATGGAAACAAAGTTGGAAAGGAGAGATGAGGCTAGCTGTACAGTGCAGCCATATACTGATTTCAGGTACCTGTTCCGTGCTTGCTCTCCCTTGGATTCCTGAAAATTTACTAGTCTTTACACAACACTCTTCCCCAACAGACTTGGTGTGAAATACTTTGAGCTAGCGAGGGTCCTGGCAGGCCACAAGGGCTTCAGCAGCAACCCCATGGCCTTGCAAAGTGGGAGCTAAACTGCATTAACGCTACAAGACTCCACGTGGCCATTTCCTCAGCACTTTGTGTGGGCCTTTGTACCCTAATGGGGTTTGCACTGTGGGATGTCCAGTCACCTCTCCTTCCTTATCCTAGATAACAGAAAGTTTATCCAGTTCCCCGCGTTACATTTGGATGTTGCTATGCAAATACATGGGATAAATTAAAAATGAAAACTAAAGAATATGTGTTTATTTAAGAAAGAACCACTCAAAAAGAACCCTTTCCATTGATAAGGATTAGGTAAAGCGGATAGAGAACTGAATAGGTTTATTCCTTTATTCTCATATTTGTATGACTTTTTTGTGGCTTTTTTATAACATATTAACATAAAATCTGGAAAGCAACTCTTAAGACAACTCCAGGGAATCCAATGCTATTGGAGAGCTGTGGCAACCCTGGACTCCTAGAAGGGAATTGCTCTGTTATGACCCCGTCCCTAACCTCTATTTGCACCACTGGTGTTCCAAGCTAAACTGCTCTTATTGCCTTTGCAGTCCCCTCGAGCACCTAACCTGGGTTTTCTGATACTCTTCTTCTTCTTTTTTCAAGGTGAAAAAGTATCTTTCCTGGTCAAACTTTTAGGCTGCTGCCTCCTAAACACAGGGAATTTATCCACTCGAGCCCACTGAGACACAATTTAAAGCCAGTGACCAGCTACTTTTCTGAAAGCAAAACAAAATTTACTTGAAATTCACTAACTATATAAAATAACATGTCCAAAATAAGCTTACCCTTAGCATGGGCCATCTGAATAAGTTAAATTATGTGAAATGCAACAGTAATATTTACGCCTGTTAGCTACATCAGTGCAAGCTTTTTCACAAATAAAGTGATCAAAAATACCTGCAGATACCTGCTAGTGCTGCTGATCTGCCTTGAACATGGCAACTTTTCCATCAGTTAGGTTATGTGCCCTTACAGCACAGAAGCTCATTAACAAAATGAAGATTGCATATAAAAATATTCATAAAAAGTCAGATTCACAATATGTGCTTATTTTTATTACTTTTCTCACCAAAATTAAAGGACTCAAATAATCCAAACAAAAAGGGTATCACTTAATAACTAAAAGGATATCCGTCCTCAATCACATTTTCATTTTTCTCAAGCAAATAGTTAAAGAATCTGTAGAAAACAATAAAAAAACCCACATGCAGTCACCCACATTATCAAAATAATTGGACAAGTTTTGTTTCCCAGCAGGTTCTGCACTCAAGTCAGCTTTGGAGGCAATTTCCAATTGAACACCGAATTTCCTCTCATCTCCTAGGATGAACTTTCTGACAAGATATCGGAAGTATAACAGAGCAGAATGACACTGAATTATGTACAAGACACCTTGAAGAGAAAAAGGTTCCCTTTGTACAAGCATCATGTTTTAACTAGGTGATATCTTCTACTTTTGATCAGCTCTGGTATGTGAAGGCAGCAGCTACCTGCCTGAGGCACAGGTGAGTCAGGTTTGTTCTGGAAAGCACTTTGCATTCCTTTGTTCAATCACATAAATGGTGGAAAAGAGGAACATATTGCTAAAAAATCTTCAAAAATCTCTGTAACTTTTAGCAATGACAAGAATGACAAAATTCTAAGTTCAAAGCTATGCATTTGAGCTGTTCTTGGCACTAGGATAAAAGGTACTCCCTCACAAGAAGGGAAGACATCAAAATACCTACCAAGAAGCTAGATGTGTTCTCTTACAAGAAATACACCTTTGATTATTCTTACTGGTAATTCCTTATTCAATCTAATCAACACGGAAGCCTTGTAAGTTGCTGGGAGGGTTGTTTAAAGTTGGGGAGCAGAACAAATAGCATTGGTCATGACTGGATCCTTCCAATTCTTACTTCTGAGATGCACGACTGGCCAGGAGGATTGAGGTGACGAGGGGCAGAGGGAAATCTCTATTTTGTTGGTAATAAGGCTACGTTTCAAGCATATGTTCAGGGCAAGTGGAGAAACAATAAGACACTGAGAAAGAAAACGAATGAAAAAAAGCATAATTTAGTATCTTCAGAAAGTACATCTTCATTACTAGATTTATTGAAGTATTTTAGGCAACAAGGACCAGCTCTTCTGTTATTCCTCCTCTCACAAGCAGGAAGAGCTTCTAGAAGAGTTTGTGGTTTGTAACATGCTTCTGTGAACGAAGAACTTTCATTTTGCAGGCCGGAAAAACTAGACGGTACTGCCAGAACTGACATAAAGTACAAAGGAAATGTGCAGCACCTGTACAATTTATACGCAATATTATCTTCTATTAATCACCTGAGTCTGTATTAGCGTATCTCAACTCTGTAGTTTAGGGGCAATGCTGGGCAAATAAGTTATCTGCCAACATCTCTTTCAACTCAGGTGACATACAGAACACTCTGCTTAGTATCACTGAACATTTCTTATATTAGCTCTTGTTTTTAAAAGTAATAACACAGAGCGCTGCTCAATACATGAGCATTATAACACTGGCACCTTACAAAACCTTTCACTTAAGAATTTCCACAAGGATCGTATGTCAAAAAAAGGCCAGAAAAAGAACTATGCATTACATAAAGCTGGACAACATTAGAAGACAGCAAAGTTGTTTCAGTTGTATGCTGCTGCCCTTTAATCATGCTGGAGTGGCCCAGGACATGGAAAAAAAAAAAAAACCCTCAGATTTCTGATGGCAGAGAACAGACAGACACCCAACATGTGCAAATACAGTCAGAAAAGGTGCATTTTCGAGGACACAGAGGCAGCAGGATGCTCCACAACAAGCACAAAAGCAGAGTCAGGTTAGTGTGAGACTCACTGGTGAACTCCCTAGGAGTTAGTTCTACAAGAATTTCAGGCTTCTGCTCCAAGCTGAGCACCTCACTGGCTCCCCGAGCCCAGGGAGACCATCTCGCTGAAACCATCAACTCTTCCCACCGAGCTACTGTTTGATGTGCAAACACTCGGTACCCAAGGGGCTGGGTGCTGCACGCCAAGCAAGATAAGTGGCATGACTGGAGTTAAACCTGAGCTAGGAATTCTGCTCTGCCTGCCTCTCCTCACTCTAATCTAGGAGTTGGAATGACGTACTAAATCTAGACAGGAGGATAAGGGATTCCCAATTTTGGATTGCTAATTCTGCTTTAATCATGAAGAACACACTTCAAGGAAATCCAAGCAGGTAAGCAAGTACATTAATATTTAAACAAGACGGCTTTAATTAAAACAAAACTGTGTTTTTAAGAACACAATTCTCAAAAAAAAAAAAAGGTAGCGTAACAAAATGCAGATACCAGCCATTCCCCACAAAAAGCACTTACTACCACTACCACTAAAACAGGCTACCTCTCATTTCTCATTTTCATAGGTGTCCCCACTCCCTATGTCCTGCAGTCAAATCTAACAATTCATTGATTTCCCCAGGGAAGAGGTATAAATTCTACTATTAATGTGACAGAAAACAATTCTTCAAACAAAAAAGAAATAAAGAATGCTTGAAAAAAGTAAACCTAAATGCCTGACATTTATTAATCAACACTTTCAAGAGCCCTAGTTTCACTTAAACTCTTACGTTGCCTTGCCCATAACAGCATTTCTCTCAAATTAAGTCATACAGTTTATTCTCTACTGCAACCTTAGTTTATATTATCTCTTAAAACAGTGTAATAGATATTTGGAAAAAAACAGAGTTATATCAGAAAAAAAAATGTAAGCAGCAGTGGAAAACCATGATACAAGATGAAGAATAGTAGAGAATTTAGTTAAAAGTCTATTGCAAGTGTGTGAGGTTGAAATTAACTGAACAGATGGGCTCTTGTCTGCTGCTAGGGGCTGGGAGAAAGAAGAAGGACACTTAAGACAAGAGCTTCCCCTCCTCCAAAGAGGAGGAAACACGAAATGCTCCGTCTGAAACCTGCAAGGAGGCACACACCTACACATTAACTAACTCGCCAAACATGTCTGTTAAAAAAGAAAAACAACCTACAGAGGTGCCAGTCCTGCGAAGATCTACTTATGTACACACAGAAATGTACACACACACACACGGGGTTTTACATAACTCCGGAAGGGTCTTTCACAACTCGCACTTCTACGGCCCGTCCTTACTTCACTCTTCCTCAACCTACATCCAGGTAGAAAGGGAAAGGCAGGGAAATGCGTTTCCATCTTGGTGCTTCCAAACACTCTGTTGGACAGAAGGCAGCGGCAGCGTTACTCGGCATCGCCCCGCTTACGAGACACGGTCGATCTTTGTGAGCAGGACACGAGGGCCCCATCGCCCTGCTCCGGGCAGCACCCCGGCCTCCTGCTGCACCTCAGCACCCCTCACACCCGCGAGGCTGCCAGCAGGGAACGCAGCAGCCGGGCAACACCGGAGCGCTCAGGGGACAGGGGACAACGCAGGCGGTCGGGGCGCGCGGCCCCCGAGGCGGCAGCGGG